GACGAGGAGCCCCTCGTGGACCCCCTGGCATAGACTGTCCATTGGCCCTGGATCACGCTACTCCAAACACACCCCTATTCTTGCCTTTTGAAGAAAAACGAAACACAAAAAAAATCGATAAAAAAGTGTGAGAGAAAATTGATAAAAAAGTGTGAACACTGTATAAAATGTACAAAAATGAAGGACTACTTTTGTATGTGATTGCAGTATTATATTTTGTTCTTTTGAGATTCCTCTGGTCAAAAATGAATAACATTTTCTATGAGAGATTTTTAATTTACACTTTGTCCCTTACCCTTTACCTAAATAGCCACTACCTCTGTGCAAAATGAAATGGAAACAAGAAAATCAGAAGAAAAGATGCTATCATTGGAGCAATTTTAATTTTTTATTTTTGTATGAATTGTATAGAAGAGAAAAAAAAGACATTGTTCCATTTCACCAGTGCCAACTGTTTGTTGTTTGTGTTGACTTTGAGCGGGAAAGGCAAAACTCAAAGTTTTCTAAATCGGTACATATGTTGTCTTGCTGGAGTTTCTCAGCAAGACTGTGTGAGACAGATTCGTGATAGCACCGTTTGTGTATAGCACATGTACAATGTCAATACCAGATGGCAACTACAGTATTTCCACGTAATTTCTTCTCAGAGAACAAATGTTCATGAAATGATTGTGTTGTCTTCCTTGCACAGAATTCATATTTTACGGTATAGTGTATACTGTAGGCTTTATACCGTAGGATGTAAAACAGGTATGTTTGTTTTTATCACATTGTATGACAGTTGGAGCTCACGTGTTGCTGCAGTGAGAGGATGACAGGTGTTTTTAGTGTGTGATTATGGAGGTGGAGAGTGGGGAAGTTGGTCATGGGTTAAACATTCCAGGCGGAGTGGTGGGTGGAAATTACAGATGTAAAGAGATGGTGAGTGAATGCCTTCATGGGTGGGCAGTTGGCTGTGCGTACATGCCCACACCATAGCTGGCTGATAACAGGAGGGTCAAAGCAGATACAAGATGGATAGAGTCATGTCTGCACCATTTAATTGTCTGTTACAAGGGTCTTCCTTCAGAAGGAAAGGGAGGCTGGGATTATGATAAAATCAAAGGAAAAAATGATCATGATGGGTCTTTTGTTTGTCTTTTTTTCTCCAGTCCATTTTTTTTTTTTTTTGTAAAGACCAGATAACATCCATCTGGCTTTGTGAGTAGAATTATCTTTCTACCTTTAGAGGATCAAAGTCTGTACGTTCACAGTTTTGTAATGACTCAGTCTTAAGTGCATTATGTTCATTTGGTCTTGAGCATTTCTCTGCTCTTCCTGAGCTCTTTCTAATCTTTCACTCTCCTCTGTGCCCTGCTGCTGCTAATGCTACCATTCCGGTCGCTCTGACACGTCCTTACGCTCAGCCTCTGTCCCAAAATGCTGCTTTCTGTCAGAAAATGTGTCAGCCATATCTTAATGCATGTGAAAAGTAACACCAATCTTTGATGTAACTACAATAACAAGTTTTTATTTTTGCTTACCTGTCAGCGAGTGTTATTTTATGCTGTTGTATATGTTTTGTCTTTAATTGAGAGAGAAGTACAATCATTTTACCTAAAGAACATTTTTGCAAAAATCATACATGCATTTTCAGAATTTCTTTTTTTTTTTTTTGATTAGTCCTTTTTTTTTAAATGAAAAATGACACATAGCTTTTATAGTACACGATGCATGGAGGCTCAGACTTTCTTTTGAATAATGTATAATTTTTATACTTTACCAACTACATCACAAATATTGTTATTACAAAGATTTAAAAAATGCAAAGAAAACAAGCCATTGTGATATTGTTCTGATAAACTGAAGAATACTGAGTCAGCGTGAGTTGATTTATTCATTTATTTGGCAAACAGTAAATCAGCTTGTATACTGTTGACATAGAGTATATATACGTATGCACATTTCATTCTTATACTGTTATTGATTCAAAAACTTTTTCAACCAGCAAAAAATAAATGAAATCATTTGTCAGAGAAAATGAGAATAATCAGGGGTGCAAACGAGTGGGGGTGGGGTGGGGGTCTGGGTCTCTGCGAACAGACTCATGGGAAGTTAAATGAGGTCAGTTTTTGTGTGCCTTAAGGTAAGAATCACTTACAGTAGCATTATGATTACGTTACTTGGCTTATATGATGATGTGTCAACTGCCTGATTGGGTTAAGTTGTTCTGATGTCGTAAACGCTGACCAGTATTTACCGTTGCGCCGCTGCTGCTATAAAATCTCCCCATACGCAGCTTATTCACTACAGATTGAAGGCTTATCAATAGAGCCGATCAGTAATTTTCTCTGATAATTGCATTGTAAACAACGAATCTGTGTTGACAGCAGGAGAGCTAGTTGACTGCAGAGCCCTTGAATAGCCCTTTAATCCTACGGCCCTGGTAAACCGCTGTGAGCAGTCAGCTGAAACAAACTGACGGAGGTTGCACTGAGTTACATAATGCATTCAGTTTCTATATTCAGTAAAAATGAGTATTGGGCCAAGGTTAATTATAGCTGACCATTTTCATGTTGTGTTCAAATTGAATCTTGTAAAATGTACTTTTGGGTGAGAATTTTGAATAAATCCAGCTATTTGAAGGAGAAATTTGTTGTGCCTTCACAGCCATAAATAGATATTAGACAGGGAATTATGATATATAAAGTAGAAAGGCTTTTGAAGCGGTCATAAAAAACCCGTTTTCTTGTGAAAGGTTATTATAAAGGTTGTTTCATAAATGTGTGTGATGGAATTTGTGTTCATTCAAAGGTAGTGTAATGAGGGCCTGAACTGCTCCTAAAACAGCTCAGTTATTTTTTTATGATTCTTTGGTTCCCTCACACAAAAGGGGGACAAAAACATCCATCCATCCTATCCGACATTGGGCAAGAGGCAGGGTACACCCTGGACAGGTCACCAGACTATCACAGCGCTGACACATAGAGACAGACAACCATTGACACCTATGGACAATTTAGAGTCACCAATTAACCTCTTGTGGGAGGAAGCCAGGGTACCTGGAGAAAACCCACAGTGACACGGGGAGAACATGCAAACTCCGCACAGAGAGACTCCCACACCTGGGATTGAATCAGGAACCCTCTTGCTGTGAGGTGACAGTGCTAACCACCACACCACCGTGCCTCCCAGAATTATAACAATGAATTTAAAAAAAGCATCTGTATGGGCCCAAAATTTCACAGTCAATGCATCCCTTACATAAATGAAAAATGTGGACAATTAGTTAAATGGACTTATGTTACTTGTGATGGAGTTTAACAGAATGCTTAAATTAGTCTACTTATGTTGCCTAAGAAAGGGGGAAAAGCCAAGCTCACTGAAAATAACAGAAGCTGATTTGAAATTTGTGACAGTTTTTCTTTTAGTTGTACTGGCTGTAAAATCAGTTTCTAAATTTCATATCTAAACCCTGTCTTTAATTTACCAAGCAGCAATTGCAATAGCTGTGAAGAGCAAAAGTCACATACATTTTTACTAGCTACAATGTAGCACAATGTACTTGAATACAATTTTGGACCTGGCTGTACACTCTGTCATCCTTACATTACCTTCGTGGAAGCAAGATTATGTTAATTCTAGTGTGAGTTTTTCCCTATATCCTTGACTGGAAATCCACATTTTAAAGTTAATGTTTAAAAAAAATGTCTTCCGGGGCGTCGGTGGCTTAGTGGATAGAGCAGGCGCCCCATGTACAAGGCTGTCCTGTCAATTAAAGGCTTAAATGCCCCAAAAAAATCTTTATTAGAAAAAAAAAAAAAAAAAAAAGTCTTCCTTGGGGGTGCATGCCCCCAGAACCCCTGGACAATTCATATCTTTGTCACCTTTTTCACCCCTGATAAGTTGGCACCCCTGGATAATACTCATTGCTGAAAACTCTTGAGATGTAAATAAATGTAATTTTTTGTGTAAAAACAACTCTCCTCAGCCACTTTGTATCACAGTCTTCACTCGATGCCTTTAGCCTTCAGCTCCTCCCTCACTCTGCTCAGGTAGTCAGGGTCAGNGATTGTTATTGTTTGGTCTTGTTTGTTTTGGCTATGATATCATTTATTATGTGGTCATATTGAGTAGGGGGATAGCGGGTCACAGGGGATATCAAGTTAATATATTCACCTGTTCACTTCTTATTGTGGGGGAGAGAGAGAGACCGCTATTTTTCTTTGATCAACGAGTTTGTGCACTTTATCATGAGTTCATCATCTTTTTTCATTAATAAAAAGTTAAACTTATTTTAGAAATCTCAGTGGATTCTTTCATTAAGCGCATCAGACAGTCAGGGCCAACCTCAGTCCCTCAGCGACTCCTTCGCTACACTGACTCTTCCTGTAGCTACAAATATTTTACCTTCTTTTTCCTTTGAAAGTTAAATGTTGAAGACGAAATCCTGGAGTTGATAAAAGCCTTGGGTTTTTACTCTTGTCGAGCATGCTCGTTAGTTTGTGCTGTTTATTTTTAACCAAATTTTAAACAAGACACGGAATAAGGTGATTTTGATGAAATATCACAATTTAAAGCTCATTTCATCACTTTTTTTCTATCCCCGACGGAAGCATATGCCACACGATGTGTGCAAGGACCATCAAAAATTTTAAAATCTTAAGACAATTTCTGTTCATACAGCTTCTGACTATGATAAATGGTGTAATTTTGGTGATTTTTAAAGAACCCCCCCCCGCTTAAAAAATGATTTGACATGCCTCCCTCTTTTCTTACCACCCATCGCCCCTCATAAGTAACCAACAGTCCCTTAGTCCTTTTTTTTCTTTAAATGAAAAATGACTCATAGCTTTTATTGTACATGATGCATGGAGGCTCAGACTTTCTTTTGAATAATGTATAATTTTTATACTTTACCAACTACATCACAAATATTGTTATTACAAAGATTTAAAAAATGCAAAGAAAACAAGCCATTGTGATATTGTTCTGATAAACTGAAGAATACTGAGTCAGCGTGAGTTGATTTATTCATTTATTTGGCAAACAGTAAATCAGATCATGTGTACTGTAGACATGAAGTTCAATTTGTATTTGTATATTTCATTCTTATTATACTGTTATAAGCTGAGCAGCTTCATGAAACAACAAAATGAGGAAATATTAGATACCCAATCCTTCATCATATTTCTGCTTAAAATGTGAGGATAATACATGCTGCTAAACCATTAACTCTTAGGCTTTAAATTCTGTCCTGTGCACCTCAAAGCAACCCTTACTGATAATGTGAAAAATTACAAGATAACAAGAGAGACGGTGTACATTCATTCCATTGCATTGCAGTATTGTTTTATATAATTATCTTAGTTTTTGTGTGAAAACAACTCTCCTCAGCCACTTTGTATCACAGTCTTCACTCGATGCCTTTAGCCTTCAGCTCCTCCCTCACTCTGCTCAGGTAGTCAGGGTCAGGATACCCAAAACTGCAAACAGCAGGTACAAAGGTTGATATATAGTGGACTTGACAGAAAAGAAAAAAAATATATATATAAAACTTTAGCTTTAGCTAGAGATTTAGCTACTGTACCGCTCTGGGCCTCCTGAAATGTTGGTCTTGTGGTGAATGTCGTTCCAGGTCACCTGGTTATCCGCCCCCGTTGTTCTGGATGTCCCAACAGTGAAAATGAGCTTCTGGTCAAACGCCTTCTTCAACAGGCTCATCACCTCTCTGCCCTCTTTGTTGTCTGGTAGATACGCTGTTCTGTGAATACCAGAATAGTGCTTTCCAGGATTTGGATGCTTTTTCTGCAAAACAAGAGTAAAACATGACCACCAAGTCAGAAATTAACTTACAAGTTACAAAAATGACAGAAAGTCTCCAAATATTTAAATGAAGACATTTACCGTCTGGTATCCACCTGGGATATTATAGCTGATGTTAATAGTGCCACAGTCTGGGAATCCAGGGAGGTGAGAGGAATTTGTATGCCATGTCATATCTCCATCTGGCTGGTCTCCCTCCATCACACCAAAGACTTCTCTACAAACAGGACAGATGGGTCCCATGCTTTCCTTTGACTGTGCCAGACATTCTTCACAAAACTCATGTTTACACTTGAGTCGTGTCTTTTTGGTGAATGTATCCATGCATATAGGACACTTTTCTTCTTCACCATCTCCTGCTGTTGCTCCTCCTCCTGTGGGTGTTTCCGTCTTGTGTTCTGATTGTCCATTAAACAAGGGTCCGCCGGAGGCTCCCTCTGACGGCGAGCTGGTGAACCCGGCAGCACGAAGAGGTTGGGTGAAGCTGTAGGGTGATGTTGCAGTCTTCTGGTACAGATGAAGAAGAGCTCTGACAGCATGGCTCTCCACTGACGCATTTCCTCCAGATCTTTTGTGGCAAGCTTTGACTTCCACTTTGCCTTGACTGTCGCTTGATTCTTTAAAGTCCACTCCAAACTTAGTTTTGATCTTATCTACTTGCTCACTGTAGGAAGTAGTCATCAGCTTCCAGTGGTTCTCCTCCATGGTGAGTCCGGCATTGACGAGAGGGTCATTGATGCTCATGCCAATGTTCCGTAAAGTGTCTTGAGATGCCCGTGTAGACACTGTGATTTGAGATGGCCGTGTAGACTCTTTGTGTTGAGATGCCCGTGTAGACAATGTGACTTGAGACGCCCGTGTAGACTCTTTGTGTTGAGACGCCTGTGTAGACACTGTGACTTGAGATGGCCGTGTAAACACTGTGTCTTGAGATGCCCATGTAGACACTGTGACTTGAGATGCCCATGTAGACACTCCCACAGAAGTACTGATACTTGTTCTTGCATTTAAGGACTTTCTGATGACATCTTGACTTTTTCTTGGCCCACACACGGTCATTTCTTTAGAGGACAGAGCGAGGACAAGCTTGTTCTCAGGTCTCTGGATGACATTCAGTGTGGCCTTCCACTCTTCTGGATTCATCTCCTTGAGAGGAAGAGTGAAGCCCCTGGATTCCCCTGAGCATTTCTGGACAAGGTTAATGAACTCAGAGAAAGCATGGTTTGGACTTGCATCTTTCTGGTTTGCTTCAAATGTCAGCTTCACTTCTGCCATGATTTTTACTCCACTCTCTTTTTCTATACGTTTAATTTCCTCCTTGTAGGCCTGGTTCACATACCAGAAATGGTGCATTGGGATATCGCAAGTACATGAAAACACGTCTCTTCTCTGTTTCCCCAGTTGTCCATCCACCTAGACAGAAATACAAGGAATTAACAGAATCAAATATAATGTGATTTATTTGCACTTGTTTACTCCAAAGTACATACATACTTGTGGTTCTGAGCAGAATGAAGGAGGAAGTTCGATTGAAGCATCATCTGGTCTTTGTATCTCCAGCTCTGCCTTTGTCAGACTGACAGATATTATTGTGACTGTTGTGTCATCGTTAATGGTCAGTGTTTGTCCTTTAAGTTTCTGAAGCTCATACAGGGCTAAAAAGAAGACAAACAGAAAATGATTTCCCACCAAAACAAATAAAAGAAGAGCTCAAGAAGCCGACCTGCAAAACCAATACTAATACAGAAAGCTGTCACAATGTCTGTTATGGTTTGAACTGCAGCAATTTAAAAAGCCAAACAAAGTCATACTGGACCTCGGGTAGGTGTAATCTTCACCACAACCCTCCCGTCTGTTGAGGCACTTAAAACTAAGCAGGCTGCTCCAACATGGTTTCTGATGAACCAGCGCTGGAGGACCAGCTGTAGCTCCATTTTCAGTGGTCGATCAAACCCTGACCAGTTCACATGGAGAACAGCCAGAACTTCATTTTTGTCCTGTGATGACATCATCTGAGCCTGAAAACATGACGTACAACCATTAATGACACTGTATTACTTAATAAATCCTCTGAATTATTCAGCTGAAAAGGTGTGCTCTCTGTTTCCTTTACTTAAAGAGACATGGGACAGTTCGGACAGTATGGACCTGCTACAGTTTGTTTCATTATTAATAGTCCTAAATAAGTCAAAATGCACTCTTTGTCCAATTTTATGCCATGTTACGACAGTCATAATATATTCAGTTTACAGAAATCATGAACTCTGTTTTCATTTGTCAAAAAAATGTTTGTTACAACAAATGTGACTGAACTGAACGGAGAGGAAATATCTTTTAAACTGTCACAACTGTCACTGGAAAGTGTCACACAGGTTAGAAACCTTGGCATCATTCTGGATGCTGATTTAACTTTCCAGAGCCATATTAGCAACATAATTAAAATAGGTTTTTATCATTTGAGAAATATTAAAAAGATAAGGAGCTTTTTATCCCAGAGTGACTCTGAAAAACTTGTCCACGCTTTTATCTCCAGTCGACTAGACTACTCCAACGCACTGCTCACGGGAATACCTCAAAAGCATCTTCATCGACTGCAGCTGCTCCAAAATGCTGCTGCTAGAGTTTTAATGAGAAAAAGGAAGTATGAGCATATAACACCTGTTTTAAGGTGCTTACATTGGCTCCCAGTAAAATTTAGGATTGATTTTAAAATTTTAGCACTTGTTTTTAAGGCCCTGCATGGTCTGGCACCTCAATATCTGTCTGACATGCTTTTATTCTATGAGCCAGGTAGACCCCTCAGGTCAACTGGGACAGGCGTCTGGTTACTCCCAGGGTCTCCACAAAAATTGGTGAGGCTGCGTTCAGCTCCTACGCTCCTAGACTATGGAAGAGCCTACCCAGTCATATTAAGTGTGCTCCAACATTTCTATCTTTTAAATCAAAACTCAAAACATTCCTTTTTAGCCATGCCTTTCAGTAGTCTGGTTTTACTGGTTTTTATTATTTTTATGTGTATTTTTATTTTGACTTTTATGGTTTTAATGTTTTAAACTTATTTATAATATAATAAACTTTATTTATTTATTTCATTTTATCTCCACTTTTGGTGGGTTTTTTAAATCACATTTATTGTTACTATTATTATTATTATTATTATTATTATTATTGTTATTAGTAGTAGTAGTAGTATTTTTAACTGTGCTTACTTATGTGCTCATGCACATTGTACACTTTTTAACTGCAACCTCTATGGTGGCATATGCTCTGTGAAGCACATTGTGTTTCTACCTGGAATGAATTGTGCTATACAAATAAAGTTTTGCTTGCTTGCTTGCTTTGAACTTAATCAGAAAAAAAGCAATGATGACGCACACTTTCATAGCATACAAGTGCCATTAACTAGGGCCACAACACAGTGGATTTTGATTGTTTTTCTCCTGTCTTGTTGCATTTAACTCATCTCATTTTAGAAAAATGTCCTTATCTTCCCAAATAAGGTAAGGTATCAAGTATTTTCCAAGCTTATGTTCAAGTGAAGTCACGAGTCACTGGTGTCCAAGTCCAAGTCAAGTTAAGTCAAGTCAAAAGTCATCAAGTTTTTGTCTTGAGTCTGACTCAAATCCACACCTCTGACATGCTGCAATCAATATATATATATATATATATATATATATATATTGATTTTATTCTTCAATATTTAAACCTGTTTAGTTTAGGCATTATTGAGGAAAATGCATTATGTGAGCAAGATCACAAATAATACCTGCTGATATGAACAGTTCTATTCCTAATGAAGACACAGTTGCTGTTACATTTGCACAGATTCATATTAACTTTACATCAACATAGGCCCAGGGTGAACTCAGGTAATGTGGGACACCTTTTGGTACATCTGCTGACCCTGGTTCAAGGTTAGTAGTTGATCCCCTCAAAATTCAGTCACTTTTCAGCCACGTATGCAAAAAGAAATCCGCAGGCCCTGATTTGCAGCAGAGCTAACTCCAGCTTGGTGTCCTGTGTTTCAGAAGTCTGCACATTCTCATTCGGTCCCGGCCCTCTGGAAAAAATCTACCATTATTCCCATTCCAAAGAAACCCTGTCCCACAGAAAAAAATGTTTAGACCAGTGGCTTTAACTTCTGTTGTCATGAAATGCTTCGAAAAATACATGGTATCCATGCTGAAATCTGAAGTAAATTCTGAACTAGATCCATTCCAGTTTGCTTATAGACAGGGGAGGAGCACAGATGATGCAATTCATAGCATCACCCACCTGACTCTTAAACACCTGGAGGATCCCAAAGCCTATGCACGCCTTTTGTTCACTGATTTTAGCACTGCTTTTAATACATTGCAGCCTCATCTGCTTTTACAGAAAATGATTCAGATGAATGTTAATCCTTTTATTATTAAGTGGTTTTATTATTTATTAACAAATAGAATCCAAAATGTCAGGATCAATGACGCACTCTCCCAATCCAAATGCATTAGTACAGGTGCACCTCAGGGCTGTGCAAGCTCACCAGTCCTGTTCACCCTTTACACAAATGACTGCACCAATAGTCTCCCGGGCAACCTGTTTTTTAAATTTTCTGATGACACTGCCATCCTCAGCCTGCTTCACCAGAACTCAGACCCCTCACTGTACTTCATGGAGGTCAATAAATTTGTTCAATGGTGTGACAACACCTACCTCATCATTAACACTAAAAAAACAAAGGAGATGGTGCTGGACTCTCGGTCAGTGGGGTATCACACTCCACTCTCTATACACTCAGAGGAGATCAAACAGGTCACATCATTTAGGTATCTGGGCATCCACCTGGATAACCTTTTCACCTGGAATGACCACGTGGATCATGTATGTTCTCGTTTACAGCAAAGGCTGTATTTTCTGCGCAGGCTGAGATTGTTTGGTGTCAGTCACAACATTATGTTTTTATTCTATCAGGCAGTGATGGAGAGTGTTATCAGGTACAGGATGACGGCATGGTTCGGCAACCTCTCCGCACAGTCCAGATCCAAGCTGCAGGGCCTGGTACAGACTGCTATGAAGGTGATGGGGAGGACTGAAAAGCTCTCCCTCCAGTCCATCCTGAGCATGAGCTTTTGCCTTCTGGCAGAAGGCACAGACTTCCCAAATGCAAACTGAACCGTTTCAAACACTCATTCATTCCTAATTCCATCAAACTGTTAAATAGCTCTTGAAGGCTGGGAAATATTGGGGATTGTGCAATAACTTAGTGCACATTTTTTCACATTTTGTCTGGTTTGTGTCTTATGAGTGTGTATGTTTGCCATTTCCTGTGTCTTTGCTGTTTTGTGTATATTTATTGCCTGCAAGGCAGTTGGTGTATGCACTCGAGTCCACGACAAATTTCCCCTCGGGGACAATAAAGTATATTCTATTCTATTCACCAAGAACACCAGCTAAACTCTGACGAGTGCCTTAATGTTACTTTTAGAACTTGTTATTGATCTCTGCTATATTTCTATAAAAAAATGTGTCCATTTAAAATATTTCAGAAACTCTGGACCTTCAAACACATCAAGAACCCCGACTTCACTTTGATGACATGTTCAGGTAAAATGGGACAGTCATGTTTGTTTTTTAGATGGTTGAATCCATTTATCAGTTCAGTCTTTAATTTCATTCATGTAACCTAATGCTGTTCATTCAAAAGGATTGTTCTGCCATGCTATTGCTGTTCTTTTGCTACCTGTTTCCTAGACAGGTGCGTTGGGATGTGCCATATCATCTAATTCACAATAATACTGGTATGATTTTTTATATGATGAGAAAAATTCATCGTGATACTCACAGTATTTCAACTTGCTGACATATTAACATCATACTGTTACCGACGGCAACAGCAAGCATGGCTGAAAGCGAAATTATTATGACTCCACAGTGGTTCCAAAAAGAGGAGCAGCTTCAGTAGTGTGGAATAAACTGTGGCGTCCTGAATGTTTTATGAACAGCCCTGGACTTCTCAGACTCTTTTAGCAAATTACCGCTCAGAAGGAACTCACTCAGCGCCTCCTCTAGCAGCAGCACAGTCAGTGTTTCTCCCTATCCTCTCTTGTCATGCACACATGGGAGTCGGCGTCGTCAAGTGATTTGTGTCATAAACCTTTGGTGATGTAAATCTACCTGATAAACACTACATATATGTGAATGTGCAGTAGTTATGGTAGCATAACAGACTGTCACAGGTTACAGCGTGATGATTAGAGGAGAAATGGCAGAGCATAAAGATCCAGGTGGAAAAAAAACAATCATTTGGGCTTTTGCTGAGAGAAGGAAACCGCCTGTTGATTTATTTATATAGATCCCAGGGTCTTTTTTTGTATTTGAGAGCTGTTTAAATGTGTAATTTGAGGTAGTTTATATTTTGTTGAACTATTAATATTGTATACAGAGTCTGAATGTCACTGTGAGCTACTGTGGTTGTGTACATCACGGCACCATGGTGTTGGGTGAAGCTCATGGGTAATGTGGCACTTTTTTGGTACAGATGGCTCATTACTGATGCATTTCCTCCCAATGTTTGGTGGTACACTTAAACTTTGCCTTAAAGGGATAGTGCACCCAAAAATGAAAATTCAGCCATTATCTACTCACCCATATGCCAAGGGAGGCTCAGGTGAAGTTTTAGAGTCCTCACAACACTTCTGGAGATCCAAGGGGAGAGGGGGTAGCAACACAACTCCACAGAATGTAGGCTGACGGCGCCCCAGAAACTTCCAAAAACACATAATTGAAACCTAGTGATCCAAGTGTCCTGAAGCCCTGACATAAAAAGTTGTTTGGAAAAACGTCATTTGAACTGTTTTTAGCCTCATTGTAGCCTGTAGCTCTAACTGCCTCTCTGTGCACTGCGCTCACGTGTGCGCGCTTGCGCGCGAGACCAGCAAGCACATGAACACACATGAAGGCGGTGCTCACGTCTCACGGTCTTGCACAGCGCGCACAGCCGAGGGCAGTGCACAGAGAGGCAGTTAGAGCTACAGGCTAAAAACAGAGTTCAAATGACGTTTTTCCAAACAACTTTTTATGTCAGGGCTTCAGGACACTTGGATCACTACGGACGAGCAGTATGGAGATATTTTGTGGTTTCAATTATGTGTTTTTGGACGTTTGAATCTGGGGCGCCGTCAGCCTCCATTAGGTGGAGTTGTGTTGCTACCCCCCCTCCCCTGGGATCTCCGCATGTGTTGTGAGGACTCTAAAACTTCACCTGAGCCTCCCTCAGCATATGTGTGAGTAGATAATGGCTGAATTTTCATTTTTGGGTGTACTATCCCTTTAATAATCATCTTATTTGAGGACATTGGGACTTAATAATTGTCTTGTTTGAGGACATTGGGACTTTATTATCATTGACAGTTTTCATTTTTTTAATACTTATTGGGTCCTACTGATCTCAAATACTTATGAGAAATTAAAAATGTATATCAAACAAAAGTTGGGGTCTCAGGAGGATATTCAAAGAGCCAAAGATGTAAAACCTTATTTATCCCATTTTACCTGACTCCACCCCACATGAAGGCTACTGTTGCCAGTTCTTTCATAATGTCTCAATCTATGGACTACTCACTATTTCCACGGTCTCTCTTCTTTGACCTCGACACTGCCTGACGTTTTCACTTTCCTCTGTAAGACACAACAAACAGCCACAATAAACCTGACTGCAGAGGACTGACTGAGCTAACGATTTAAAAACATAGTTTGACTGCACACAGACATGATGTGAAATATTGGTCTTCAGAAAGAAATGCTCTACTTTCTGTTGCGGCAGGTTATTCAAGGGTAAACTTTTCTAATGCGACACAACCTGGTTATATCGCACGCTTTACGTTTGCGCATACATACGGGATATATAAAGTTAAATCTGAGACTTAAGCCTGCCACTTACCTCTGTCTGGACTCAAACGTATTTCCGTATTTTTTCCTTGAAATTGAAACTTATCATGTAAATGAGACACATCATATCCTCGAGCCCGCCCAGTCTGTCCCCAGTACTGTACTATGCTGTTGTTTGTCCTGTGGTACAAGAGTTTGTCTCTGACATGTCTTACTGCTCTGTCTCAACATAGCCCACCACTTCAGTCAGACATGTCCGCCATATCTTCAAATAACACAAATTGTTATCGGAACTACCTTCTGGGTTGTTTTTTTCAGAATTGTATTTTGAGTAGGGACTGTTCTTTACTTATCAGAGGATGCCTGGGTGGGACTTCAATTTTTTTTTAACTTATTTTTTGACTGTAGGAATTAATTAAAAGGTGTTTGTTTCTATTAGTAATAAGTGGAAGGGATGCTGATTGTTATTGTTTGGTCTTGTTTGTTTTGGCTATGATATCATTTATTATGTGGTCATATTGAGTAGGGGGATAGCGGGTCACAGGGGATATCAAGTTAATATATTCACCTGTTCACTTCTTATTGTGGGGGAGAGAGAGAGACCGCTATTTTTCTTTGATCAACGAGTTTGTGCACTTTATCATGAGTTCATCATCTTTTTTCATTAATAAAAAGTTAAACTTATTTTAGAAATCTCAGTGGATTCTTTCATTAAGCGCATCAGACAGTCAGGGCCAACCTCAGTCCCTCAGCGACTCCTTCGCTACACTGACTCTTCCTGTAGCTACAAATATTTTACCTTCTTTTTCCTTTGAAAGTTAAATGTTGAAGACGAAATCCTGGAGTTGATAAAAGCCTTGGGTTTTTACTCTTGTCGAGCATGCTCGTTAGTTTGTGCTGTTTATTTTTAACCAAATTTTAAACAAGACACGGAATAAGGTGATTTTGATGAAATATCACAATTTAAAGCTCATTTCATCACTTTTTTTCTATCCCCGACGGAAGCATATGCCACACGATGTGTGCAAGGACCATCAAAAATTTTAAAATCTTAAGACAATTTCTGTTCATACAGCTTCTGACTATGATAAATGGTGTAATTTTGGTGATTTTTAAAGAACCCCCCCCCGCTTAAAAAATGATTTGACATGCCTCCCTCTTTTCTTACCACCCATCGCCCCTCATAAGTAACCAACAGTCCCTTAGTCCTTTTTTTTCTTTAAATGAAAAATGACTCATAGCTTTTATTGTACATGATGCATGGAGGCTCAGACTTTCTTTTGAATAATGTATAATTTTTATACTTTACCAACTACATCACAAATATTGTTATTACAAAGATTTAAAAAATGCAAAGAAAACAAGCCATTGTGATATTGTTCTGATAAACTGAAGAATACTGAGTCAGCGTGAGTTGATTTATTCATTTATTTGGCAAACAGTAAATCAGATCATGTGTACTGTAGACATGAAGTTCAATTTGTATTTGTATATTTCATTCTTATTATACTGTTATAAGCTGAGCAGCTTCATGAAACAACAAAATGAGGAAATATTAGATACCCAATCCTTCATCATATTTCTGCTTAAAATGTGAGGATAATACATGCTGCTAAACCATTAACTCTTAGGCTTTAAATTCTGTCCTGTGCACCTCAAAGCAACCCTTACTGATAATGTGAAAAATTACAAGATAACAAGAGAGACGGTGTACATTCATTCCATTGCATTGCAGTATTGTTTTATATAATTATCTTAGTTTTTGTGTGAAAACAACTCTCCTCAGCCACTTTGTATCACAGTCTTCACTCGATGCCTTTAGCCTTCAGCTCCTCCTTGACTCTGCTCAGGTAGTCAGGGTCAGGATACCCAAAACTGCAAAGAGCAGGTACAAAGGTTGATATATAGTGGACTTGACAGAAAAGAAAAAAAATATATATATAAAACTTTAGCTTTAGCTAGAGATTTAGCTACTGTACCGCTCTGGGCCTCCTGAAATGTTGGTCTTGTGGTGAATGTCGTTCCAGGTCACCTGGTTATCCGCCCCCGTTGTTCTGGATGTCCCAACAGTGAAAATGAGCTTCTGGTCAAACGCCTTCTTCAACAGGCTCATCACCTCTCTGCCCTCTTTGTTGTCTGGTAGATATGCTGTTCTGTAAATACCAGAATAGCACTTTCCAGGACTTGGATGCTTTTTCTGCAAAACAAGAGTAAAACATGACCACCAAGTCAGAAATTAACTTACAAGTTACAAAAATGACAGAAAGTCTCCAAATATGTAAATGAAGACATTTACCGTCTGGTATCCACCTGGGATATTATAGCTGATGTTAATAGTGCCACAGTCTGGGAATCCAGGGAGGTGAGAGGAATTTGTATGCCATGTCATATCTCCATCTGGCTGGTCTCCCTCCATCACACCAAAGACTTCTCTACAAACAGGACAGATGGGTCCCATGCTTTCCTTTGACTGTGCCAGACATTCTTCACAAAACTCATGTTTACACTTGAGTCGTGTCTTTTTGGTGAATGTATCCATGCATATAGGACACTTTTCTTCTTCACCATCTCCTGCTGTTGCTCCTCCTCCTGTGGGTGCTTCCGTCTTGTGTTCTGATTGTCCATTAAACAAGGGTCCGCCGGAGGCTCCCTCTGACGGCGAGCTGGTGAACCCGGCAGCACGAAGAGGTTGGGTGAAGCTGTAGGGTGATGTTGCAGTCTTCTGGTACAGATGAAGAAGAGCTCTGACAGCATGGCTCTCCATTGACGCATTTCCTCCAGATCTTTTGTGGCAAGCTTTGACTTCCACTTTGCCTTGACCATCACTTGATTCTTTAAAGTCCACTCCAAACTTAGTTTTGATCTTATCTACTTGCTCACTGTAGGAAGTAGTCATCAGCTTCCAGTGGTTTTCCTCCATGGTGAGTCCGGCATTGACGAGAGGGTCATTGATGCTCATGCCAATGTTCCGTAATGTGTCTTGAGACGCCCATGTAGACTCTCCCAAATAGGTGCTGGCACTTGTTGTTAATGACTTTCTGATGACATTTTGACTTTGTATTGGCCCACATACGACCATTTCTTCAGAGGACAGAGTAAGCAAAACCTTCCTTTCTTTTGTTTGTGCGATTTTCAGTGCATCTTTCCACTCTTCTTGATCCACGTTCTTGAGAGGAATAGTTGAGCCCTCTGAATCACCTAAGCACTTCTGGACAAGGGTTGTGAACTCAGATAAAGCTTCTTGTGGACTTCCATCTTTCCTGTCTGCTTGAAAAGTCACATTTACTTCTGCTATGATTTTAACTCCTTGCTTTTTCTCTATACGTTGAATCTCCTCCTTGAAGATGTGGTTCACGTACCAGAAATGGCCCACTGCGACGGTACATTTCTCCTCTCCTACTGTAGAGACTGCACCGCCCTGCTCCCCTGGTTGCACTGGCTGCTGAATAAAATAAAGTGTATTCATTAAGTAAAAAAGCATTTATTTTCAGTGTAATTTGTTGCTATTGTTTTACTACACAGCACATACATCTGACATGGGTGAAGGAGAAAGGTTCATTGAAGCAGGCGTCTGTATCTTCAGCTCTGGTGGTGTCAAAGTAACAGACGTTATTGTGACTGTTTTCCCATCTTTCCTGGACAGCGATTGCCCGGTCAGTTTCTGAAGCTCAGTCAGGGCTGTGAAAGAAGACAAACAAAAAATGACTCCAAAAGAAATATAAAAAGAATATGCAAATGAATTGTCCTTACAATCACACTGTACCTGGAGGGGGTTTAAAAGATATCACAGCACTGCGATCGTCTGAGACTTTCAAAACTTTGCAGTCTCCATTGAATTTGTCGATGTTGTTGGCCCAGGTCTGAAGAACTTTCTCCAGTTCTACTTTAGGTTTCTGTGGTTGACCCCCCTCTGACCACATGACTGAGAGAGTGACTTGAACTTCTTCTTTGTTCTGTGATAAAGTCGTCAGAATCAGAGAATAAGGTCACAGTTAGTTATTGTCACTTTATTAGAAGGTAAAATAGAACAAAATCCTGCCTGTCATTTGACTTAAAAGCTTTGGTTTGGACTTAAATTTTAAAAACTAAAACTAGTTGTAAAACTAGAAAACAGGAAGTGAATGGCCCCACTGGCACAGTTTCAAAACAGAAAAAAACATATAAATTTTTTGTCATCCGCAGTTTTTAAAAAAATTATATTTAGTTTGACTGTGGCGTTAGCTCTTTAGTTATAATTTTGTTTTGCAGGTTCTGTGGGCTTTATAACATTAAAGGTCATACACTGTATATGAATGTGATATTGGAGGTAGGGCTGCCACTATATCAGACTTTCACTACATGTTTATTGTGGCCAAAAGAGATTATGATAACCACATTGTTGCAATGTCTTTAGAAAAAAAAAGGCAAATTAATTACACTCAAAATATGAGAGAGTGTATAACTATAACTATAAATAAGCAATTTCACTTCAAGGACAGTAAAGAGGCAACCAGATAGTGCTACTGGAGACAGACAAAGCAAGAGCATAAAGAAACAAATTATTTAGAAGGCACTGGATTATTTACACAATATTATCACATGTATTATTAACATGTTTTCATGAAATATATCAATGGTCTTAACTGGTCCAGTCACAGGGTCCAGATTTCTCCTCAGTCATCAGTTCAAGGTCCACACAGTTTAATACATTCAGCATCACACTTGGGTTTGGCCATGTCATTGAGCTAGTTACGTTACCTGTCTCTGTCAAGTAGCTGTCTGTTAGTCACTCAATTTAATGCAGGAAACAGTGCTTCAAAATAAAGGCCTATAAATAAAATCACTCTGTCACTGTTTCCACACTCCAGTATTGAAATCAAAAGCTGGACTCGAACCAGACTGAGGTATCTCTTATTAAGACACACACACAGTCACAGAAATACCTACCTCAGCAGACTGATCATGAGGTGTTGGAAACTGCGGTGCATCACTGCTCACAGACCACTGCGTGTTATTAAAATAAAAAAACAGACAAACACAACGATGAATGCTTCAAAACCCAGGGCTGTGATTATTTATGAATAACAGA